AGGCCAGCATCATGGATGCATCTGGTACCTGAGTGGCTGGAGACCAAATATATTCTACATGCAAATATATGTATATATTGGGAGTATAATACTTGCAAAATATACAGGTGGAGATGTAAATCCAGACCCAAAGTCCAAAAAAAAAAAAAAAAAAAGAGAGATTGGTATTGGTGATACAAATAGCAAGAACTAGTTATAGGGACAATTGAAACCATGACAGCTGATGAAATAATTATAGCTTTTGACCCCAGCTGTTAGCTGTTGTTCACATCATATGGGGACTTTAAATAATAGAGAACAATTTTTTTTTTCAGAAAGTAGAAACAACCCCAAAATGTCAAAACCACAACCATCTGAATTCTCCAGCTATGCATTTGGCAGAAGCTGAACACCAGCATCCACAGAGAAGACATTCTGTCTTGTAGAACCAATATTGCTAGGGCAAAATTCTTAGTTTGGACATGAACAGTATATGATATTTGACAAACTGTTGGTCTAAGAATTTTTATTTTCCTCTGTAATCTGACCAGACTTGCAAATGATCCATTTGATTGCTTACTACAATCAAATGTATATCTAGTAGTAGTGACTTGACAAAATCCGAAAAAGTTTACATACACAAATTAGATGGACTATGAGTAAAGACTTGGAAGTGGATGCACAGATTCTTTCTGAGTTGTTTGTTTGTTTGTTTGTTTTTTCTTTCAGGGCCCCATGTAGTTCTCAATCTCTCCTGGCAAAATCAATTTGAGTTTGGTGACTCTGTAAGGGCCAGCAAGGGAAGAAGTACGAGACTGGCAGTTCTAAAGCAGTCTACATGGTACTCATCAAGAAAGACCAGACGAATCTGTTTGCTTTGTGTGACTCTTACATACCTACTCATAATTTCATTCCCCAAGTAAGGGGTACTTCATAGCGCACGTACAGTTTGACAGTCTGCCTTCATTTATCTCAAGGTTCAGCAGTTCATCCTTAGTTATAACAGCAAAATCTTTATTTTCTTGGATGAACAATAAATGATATTCTATGTTATTTGAAAATTATTTCAAAGTCTCTGTCCATGGCAGTAAGTTCATGTGAATTTTATATGTTAGTGAGACTTTTTGTTCTTTGTAATTGCTTTATAAATTATAAAAGTCATGCTTTTTTTTGAGACACAAGTTATACACAGCATAAAAGTTAAAAAAGAAAGGCAGGACTATCTATGGTCATTTGAAACTTGAGCGTCATTTTCTGTTTAAATGACATTTGTAAAGATATAGATGACATCTGCAAAAAGATCAACGTGCTACCTTGATTTTCATCCCTCCTTTTATCTAAGAAAATATCTAAGCAATTGCTCCTTGTCAGCATTTACGGAGGTACTTCATTCTTTGTATAATCTAATGGTATTATGCAGTAAAGAGTTCCCATTATTTAACCATGACCTCATTGATAATACTATGCTGAGATTGTAGAAGAGACTGCGTAACTTTATACAACATTTTTATGCACATGCACTTGTAGAATACAATCTTAGAAACTGACTTACTAGGTCAAATAGTAAATATATTTTTATCTGTAGCTGATATTGCCAAATTGTCCTCCAAAGGAATGATGATCTTTGCCTTCAGTGGTATGAATAAGAATATCTACTTCTCTTGACCCTCCTCTAATGCAACATTTTAAAAACCATTTTGGATCTTTGTCAATCTAATAAGTGAAATGTGGTTATGTTGTAGTTTAGTCTTCATTTGAAAAATGGTATTTCATTGCTGTTTGACTTGCGTTTTTATTTCTTTTGCAGTGAATCATGTACAAGAATCCTGCAGTGACTATGCAGCAAATCACATACAGTGAATTATAAGAAGTGAATCACGGGAAAATATCTTTTGCACATTTTCCCCCTGGCTCTTCACCATTGTTTCTTACTTGGAAAAACTGTTTGTTCACTAAAAAGCTAATGTTTATGTATTTTTGTTACAAACATATTTACCCAGTTTGTCATTCTATTGCTACATTTACTCAGTTTATTGTTCAATTTTTGAATTTGTATATAACATTTTTATGATACTAATATATTTAATGAGCTGAAATTTATGCCTTCTATGCTTTCTTGTTTTATATCTTGTTTAAAAAGCATTGTCACTATTGCAATTGTAAAGTCAATGTTTTGCTATGTTTGGTTTTTATTTATTGTTTAATTATGTGACCCATCTGGAAATGTTTTGGACATAAGGATTAAGGTAGAAATGCAATTTAATATGTTTTAAAACCTAAACTATTTATAATATTCTACCCCTGCCCTATGCTTTATCATATACCAAAATCCCTTATGTAGTTCAGTCTATTTATTAACCTTATTATGTTCATCTTCTTGCGTGCCTGTTTGTGTTGCAGAACTAATTATCTTGGTAAATTTAGCTGTATTGTACAGTTAAATATATTAAAAGCTCTCCCTCATTTTTTTCTTTCTTTTACTATTTTTCAGCTTCCTTCATGTTTAGTTTAGCATGAAATTTTTGAATGAACTTATGTAGTGACTAAAAATTGACTTCTTGTTGATAGCCTTATGGAGATTTTGTTACATGTATAGATCAATTTAGGAGAAATTGGTACTTCTTAAGATATCAAGACATCTTATCACTAAGAAGAGAGTGTATCTTTCTATTTGTTAAATTATTCAAGTATAATTCTCAACATCATTTTAAAGTTTTCTTCATATATATCTTATATACTTAAGTTAATTTCTATATATTCTGTAACTTTAGTTTATGGCCTAAAGGGAATCCTTTCTTCAGATGATATGCATTGCGTTATATTTGTACATAGAAAATCATTGCTTTTGTGTTATTTCAGGTTAAGGGTTAATAGTTACTTAGGTTTTAATATGCTTTTCTAAGCTATCTAATCTTATATGAATAAATGATGAATTTCACTTCTTATTTCAATTTCTGTATTTCTCAGTTCTTTTATCTGATTTCACTAACTTTTTTCTCCAGAAAATAGTGGTGATATAGTTATGATACCTTTTGCTATTCAGAAATGTTAAACAATAATGTAGGAAAATCTGCCAATCTGTTCTTTAGCTTCTGGGTTTCATGTCTTGCTTCAGAAGATTTTGCCCAACCTCCAAATGCTAAAGACACATTCCATATTTTCTTCTAATATTTATAGTTTTCATTTTACACTGAGGTCTTTAATCCATCTGGAATTTATTTCTATATATTGGATGAGATAGTAATCTAACTTTATGCTTTCCAGATGTACTGCAAAATTTCCCAACATCATTTATAAAATTGGTCATCCTCTTTTCATTGGCTTAAAATGCCACTTTAATCATATTCTAAGTAGATTTGTTTTGTTTTTCAAGTTACATCTTAAAAACCATAAAGGAAATGAATTATAGTAGAGACAAAGACATGAAATGTAGGCAAAATATAGTAGACATTGAGATAAAATTTTTCACTCACTATTTAATGTATATAATAAAATACATAAGTCAGTCATAACAAAATACAAATACTTAAAAAAAAAATAGTCTTATACAGTGTTCCTGTAGGAAAGAGTCAGAAAATTAGCACCTGTAAAATATAAGGCTGCTGCAGTTAGTTATTCAAATATCCTTTGGCTACTGCCATCATATAGAAAGTTATGTGAAGTCTGATGCTGTAAACACCTTCTAGCTACCTGGTTTAACCTTATTAGGTATTTCCAAGAGCAGACCAAAATATCCCCTAAGTAAAAGCAAAACATAGAATTAGAAAAAGTAATGGTCTTTTTTTCTCTAAAATTCAAGATTGTTCTGTTCTTCTCTTGCATCTTTCAGGCTCTGCTGCGTACCCTAAGTGGCCCTTTTTGGAGTAGAGTGAAGATCGTCAGCGGCCTGGCTTTTGCCATTCTTTTGCTGTTTCAATAGAATAACTGATTAAGAGCCATTACTATTAAGTGCCAAAGATGAAAAGAATCAATGCTCAATTCTGAAACCTGGTGGAAATTCCAAACCATAAGAATCCTATTGCTTTGTAAATTTTCTATTAATCAATAAGTTAATGGTTTATATTACAGTACCAAATATTGAAATTTCTTGCCTACATCTATATAGCTATAAGGACTACTGAAATTCGACCAGTCTAGTGGATAAATTTGTCTGAGACTCTTCACTGAAAGATTTGAAAGAATGCTATTCACCAATTTGAGTTTTTATTTTCTTATGTTATCACAGTTTAACTAAAAAGTAACAGAATAATCAAAGAATAGTTTACTCATTTTATAACATTATCATGTCATCTGAGACTCACCCAGTAAGGGCAAATGAAACACATAAAATAGTCTCAAAGTGTGTTTCTACACAGTGTCATTAAAACATTTACACTGTGTTTTCTTACAAATACTATAGAATACTGTGTTTGTAGGGATGAGATTTGATTGAGCTTTGGTCGAACAAGATAACACTGATGGCGATAAAAACAGGCCCACCAAACACAAATAAACCCCTCTCTTCAGCGGTTGGAAACTGGCATGTGTTGGGTCTGGGGGCTGGAGCTGGGTGAGGTGGGGGTAGAGGGGATGACCCGTATCACATCATATGCATGATATAAATCAGTTAGCTTATTACAAATAAAATGCAAGTCCCTGGATGCCAAAACACTGGAGACAACTGATATTCTAGCCACTTTAGAGCAAATGCTTGGATATTTTAAAACATTACAATGTTTAGCTGTCCACAGTAGAAACATACAATTAACTGAGTTTTATCAGGGGTACAAGCTGGACTTAGGGTTCTTTTCAAAAAACTAAACAAAAACAGATTTCTTTAAATAAAAAGCTAGAAAGACAACCAACCTAAGAGAATACAAGTACTGGCAGTTAGATTAGAAAATGTTGCTCTTAGCAGATTTCCCTGGAAAACGTGACAGAATATATGTCTATTTTTATCGTAATTAATTGCCAAGATGGTCCTGGGTGCTCTTTGACTTCCTGGCACTCTAAAAAAAGCCAGATTTTGGACATGCTTTTTCTTTCCCAGGCCTTTGGAGGAGTGCTAATTGCAAAATACTTTATTTAAACACTAGAAACTCATTCACGAATCCAAGCCAAGTCTCAGATTTAAAAGCACTTAAAAATATCCTTGCAACAGCCTTACTACTTTATACTAAAAATAGAGGCTCAGTGTTTGTTTTGCTGGAAGAAAAAAATTAAAACATGAAAAGTATGCCACGAGCAAATCTGCAGTAATAAGCAGCACATATATGTTGTGGAAGAAAAAAGTCAACATAAAACTGTCAACATAAAAACAGGTTCTGCAGAGGCATTTTTATAAATAGCAGTTATTATTTTGCTTTCCATTGCTAAGCATTTGAAATAGCATGCCCTTAAAGTTGTCAAGTTCTTTATTTCACATAAATATAATTTCCTGACCATAACTTGCATAAAATTATTATGTATAATTATAAATGTATCCCACACATTTCATGTGTAATTTTACAGCCCTTATATTGTTAAAATTCAGAGCATAGGAAGAGAAGAAAGATTTATTGAAAAATATACATTACTCTATGTAAAATCAGAAGGTATTCGTGAAACTTTTTTATCAAATGCTTGATGGATGGTATGCCACACAGAGATTTATAGACAGAACTGTTCCAAATGGTTGACAATAGGTCACAGCCTGTTAGGGGCATTCCTGCCTGAAAAGGTCCTTTTGAATTCCTGAGCATACTAACATAGGCGGAACGATGCTTAAAACCCTTAGGACTTCGGAATTCTTTGCTTAATATATAATTGCTGCTACACAATCAAGTAAATTTTCCCACTATATCTTTAAAAACAAATCACTTTAAAGGTTTCAGAATCACCTCCATCTGGAAAGTACGAAGGTGTGTCAAGGGGACAAAATGGCTATTTAAATGGTAGGAAACGGAAATGTTGACACAGGAGAAGAATAGAATTGCCTGATGCCCGTGATTCCGAGGCCAGCTCCCCACCTCCCTCCATCCCTGACCGCAGGCCACGGCTAGGGGGCCGCACCGTCCACCCATCGTCCCGGCCGGAGACCAGCTCCAGGGACTCCAGGCTGGAGCAGATGCACCTGTGCTTGCTGCTGCTGGCAGACACCGGACGGCCGTGGACACCTTCATCCACGCTCCGCAGCATCCCTGCGTCTGCTCGGGCAATGGAGAAAACCGCAGTGAGGGCTAATCGCACCGCAGGTCCTCTTCGAAGTGGAGACTGCGGCCGTGCTAGCTCTTCGCCGTCCCTCCTGCCGCGCCACAGCAGACAGGCAACTGAACGGCGTCCTGTGAGTGCTGTGGTGCCCAAGCCAGACGCAACAGAGCTCCTGCAGGAGCACGTGTGCCCGGCACAGCAGCTCTCCCGGAGGCCTGTGCGGCGCAAATCCGCTTCCCCGACCGCGAGGCTGGGCAGATGCGTCCACCGCCGCCAGACCCCGGGAGGTCGTCGTGAGGCCCTCGTCCCTCACTTGCTCTGCATTCAGGACGTGCATTTTTGATGTTGGAAGGACACGGCAGGGGAGATCAGAGGACACAGTCGCACACCGGAGCCCAAGCCCAAAGCCTCTGTGTTCTCAGGTAGCAGCCGTGACAGTTTGCCCTGAATCCTTCGCGGGCACCTCATCGCAATCTTGTCCACTGCTCTTCAAACGGTTCCGCAGGAAGAAATCACTTAGTGACTTAACAACTGTGACATCTTAGAGCGTCACAGGGAAGCGGCAGACATTAGCACTAACCCAAGTTCCTTCCGTTTCATTGCAGAAAGGAAGTTCTTTGGCTTTCCTTTAAGATCACCTTTTCATGATGCTTCTTTGAAAATCATCAGGTGCTGAGATGGGAGGAAAAGAAAAAGAGGGCGGGGTCCACAAGGAGGGCGGGAAACGTCCATCCTTCCAGCTGCGTCCTGCTGGGAATGAAGGACTACGGTGTGGGACAAGAGGCTTCAGAGGCGGCCGGTGAGACTTGCAGAGCAATAGCCAGGCCCTCCCTGGAGCCGCCCTCGCCGGGGCCAAGCCCGCTCTCAGGGCGTCCCACGGAGCAGCCCGGCTCCGCTTTGAGGCCTTCCGGCTGCCGGTGCAGGGAAGCTCGGAAAGCAGACGCCAGAGCCACCAAGCGGTACAGGTGCAGCAGCACCACGAGGAGGTTCTTGACGGCGAAGAACACCAGCATCTGATTGATCACACTGAAATGCGCCATCAGGATGAGGCGCAAGGTGAGGAAGGGGCCGTCTTGGATGAAGACACTGATCCCGATGTTCCACAGGTCGGAGCTGTACTGGCAGAAGAACATGCTGGGGAATCCCCTGGCTGTCACAGACGAGGGGCACACCACCTGCTGCACTGGAAGCGCAAGACAGACCAGTTAACTCTCCCCACAATGTAGACATGTTAGACTGATGCGATGGGGCAGGTCGATGACCCTGGGTGCCCTGATCATGAATAGTGGGAAATGATGGAAACTTTCCCCCATCTCCTCGCCCCTATTTCCCACCCACCTAAACCATTTCCCACTGCTCTCCCTTCGGGGAAGGCACAGTCAGATGATAGGGGGAGTAAAGGAGATGCCAGCTGCATTTTAGGGTCTGCAGGGCAGGGGTACAGCCCAGAAGTGGGCTCGAGGCCTCAGGTCAGGGAGCCCAAATGCAGTAAATCTAGCAGTGAGGTGCTGGCCGCCAGACTTCACTTCTCTAGGACTCAGGTTTTTCTTTTGAAGACTGGGCTAAAAATAGCTGGGAAGAGAGGGGTGTTTGTTCATTGGCTCCTCTTGCTCCCATTAGAATAGTACGCCCACCTTTCTCTCCACTTTCTTCTCAATCTTCCCTTGGGATAAAGAGTGACTTGCTTGACTGCTAAGTGTGGCAGATGGAGCTACATATACGTGGCCCGGCTCCCTCTAGATACTCTCTTTAGGATCAACATATTTAGTGGTTCACTCACTAAGTCATATGTGCAAATTGTGCTGCGAAAATTCAAGTGCTTATTTTCAAATTTAAATTCATGTCAAGTTCCCTTTTCTAATGGTGGATAGAGGAGCCCCACATACATGCCATTGTTATTTGTTTTGCCCTAATTCCTTTTGCTTTTGCTTCACAATTTACAGGAAAGACTGGATATAGTTACTAATTTTACAGTAATTATAGAGGAACAAAAAGAAGGTTCAATCAACAGATAAACTTTTTAAATTTCTAAAACGTAAATTTAATTCAGGGTCAGTGGCAGAAAATGATCCTTTAATAATAATGAAGCCTTCCATGTGGAGTTTTTAAACAAAGAATGCCTTTTTCTTGCTAGAGCCTGCAAATATTATGAAGCTGCTCTGATATGGACGAACATAATGTACTGTTTGTTGGAAAATACAATACTGATTTAGTCAGAAGTAACATTTGGTCTTTGTTTTTCAAACAGCTGCATAACATTATCACCTCTCAAAGTTTACAAAATTCCTTTCTTAAATAAAAATTTTCTGCAAAGCAGTAAACCACAAGATATCAGAGGGTGAGAATCAGCAGTGAATGACAGAAGAAAAATATTTTAGGATTAGTAACTGCCTTTTCTAAGAAGTCAGTGTCATGAAGTAGATCACAAAGGGTCCCTCCAAAGATATTAAGTGATATGAAAAGTGGTCACACCCACACACTAGCTATTATTCTACCAGGTGACTAATGAGTATCTTGTACTAACTCATGATATATTATTAGCTCATATTTATTTATAATCAATAATTAGGTTTTTGGTATTTTGAAAAAGCTGCAGCAATCTTTTCCTGTCTCTTCTGTTGACAATTTTATTTCAGAAAGTGGATGCTATGATCTAAAATGCTTCAAATTTCTGAACTTATCAAAGTGAACCCAAAAAAGATACAGAAAGTAGTTAAAAATCCCTCTCTCAAGGATTAATTCTAATCGTGAGGCTGGCAGGTAGAGAGTCTCAAAAAGTCAGCCAGACCAAGAAAAATATAATAATTAAATTCTACAGTTTCATCAAAGTAACATGGCATCCAGGAAAATTCCCAAATCAAAATTCCAGGGTATCATGGACTTATGGTGTCTCTCTAGGTGAGTGAAGGCAAACCACCTAGAGCATGCAATGATACTAACAGCCCGCCGCAGCATGTGTGTCACAGGACTGCCACCACTGCCCAAGGTCAACCATGTCAGGACCAACTTTCTGTGGTGGTAAAAATGTGACGTAACCTTCCTGTCAAAAATAGTAACTATCATGGCAACCGAGCATTTCACACAGGGCTAGTGTGACAGAAGATTTGAGCTTTTAATTTTCCTCAAATTTGCAAAGCTACATGTGGCTGTGGGTACTGTACTAGACAAGGCAGCTGCAGACATCACTAATATGAAATTCCTGGAAATAGTTCACTTCTTGGAAGGTTTGCTTAGTTGTGTTTTGTTTTTTGAGACAGGGTCTCACTGTGTAGTCCAGGCTAGCCTCAAACACACAGCAATCCTCCTGCCTCAGCTTCTCGAGTGCTGAGATTACAGGTGTGCACCACCACACTTGGCCACTTCTTGGAAAGTCTTAAAGGTTTATATCTTTGTTGAAGTAAAAACAAATGAGATTCCAAGGGTGCCCTCTGAAGAAAATTTTAATTTTGCATATGAGGCCCTGAAACTGGTCTTATTGCCTTAACACATGGCAAGATAAAGGAATGAAAATAATCCCTTATAAATATGGAGAAACACTGGATGTGTTGGTATACTCTTGTAATTCCAGCTACTTGGGAGGCTGAGGAGGGAGGATTATAGGTTCAAGCTCAGCCCAGGCAATTCAGTTACTTAATAAAATTCTGTCTCAAAATAAAAATTAAAAAAGCTGGCATGTAGCTCAGTGTGAAAGTACAAGATTCAATTCCTGGTACCTGGGTAAAGGATATAGCTCAGTGGTACAGTGCTTGCCTGGCAGGAGCAGGGTCATGAGTTTCATTCTCAGCATCAAAAAAAAAAAAAAAAAAAGAAAGAAATTACAATTCCTTAACAGGCGGGGGCAGAGGGGAAAGAAAGGGAAGACAAGGGAATGGAGAGAAACAATTTAGCAAAGTTTTTTAAAACACAGCTTATTGAATCATTATAAGAATCATCAACTCTAGCTATTGTGATTACTATCCCATTTCATGGGTGGAAAAAACTGAGGCGTAGACATGTTAACTAATTCTCAGGAAGTTTCACAAATCATTAGTGGTAGAAAAAGTGTTTGAAATGAATACAAATCTATGGTATTATCTAATCAATATCTTGAGACCTCTACACCTGAATGAATCCAGTCAGAGCTCTCCTAAATTTTAGTCTATTTTCTTTCTAAGCTGAACTGGAACTACAGTGGGGATATCAGAAGGGTAATCCCATCCACTGCTTCCTTATCTTTAGCATAGTTTAAATCAGTTGTAATTTTCTGTTTCTTTGTACAGGTATTGGACATGGAGATGCAGGACACAGGTTACACTGGTAAGATTATGGTGCTTGGTTTTGATTTGTTCGGTTTGGTTTGGAGACAGAATTCACTATGTAGTTCTGGCTGGTTTAAACTCAGAGTGTGGCCCAGGCTGGCCTCAAACTTGTGGTGAGTTTCCTGCTTCAGCCTCCCAAGTGCTGAGATTGCAGGTGTGCATCACCATACCTGAGTCCTTGCAGAAATATTAGCCATTTACCTGCCAGGTCAAGTGGAAACTGCAGCATGCTCCACGTCCATATCACAAGGATGGCGCAGACAAGTGAAGTGTTAGTCCTAGAATGTGGACAAAATTTAAATTAGTAACTAAAAGCACGGTGACCTTCTGAAGACAGAAATCTCAATGTATATTTGAGTGTATTTTTAATAAGTCTCTTGTGAGTTAGTGCAGTAGCTTGGTGACATATTAAATACACGAAAAAAATCCGTGCTTGATCACAATGAAATGAAGAAAAAGAAGTGAAATAAGAAAACTCTGACACCTAAAAATCTAACACTTACAACAAGCATAAGCATAAATTATAACAAAGCTTCTTATATTTTTTCCCTTTAGTTTTACAAAATAATAGAAATAGTACAGGAAAGAGATATTAGGGGAAACAGATTTTTTATTTTATTTTAAAGAAAATAGTACAAAAAAGAGAAAAGAACAAAAACAAATTAACAAACACAGAGACACAAATAAAACAACATAAAAATAATAAAAACAATACAGAATTTCAGACAAGGTGTCAGGAAATTAACGGTGGTGTTGTGTTATATATTGATATTTTCAAATTGGTTACTCAGATAAATATAGGCATGTAAGATTGATCAGACAATTAGAAATTAACTGTTCCTTTCAATAAAGCAATAGAAATTAATAGAACAATTATCTTAGCTATACTGTGTACATATATATATATGTACTACAGTTATCTTAGCCATATATATATATTATATACATAAGAAAATATATTTTTCCTTTCCTTTTTTCTATTCTCTTTTCTGTCATCCCAGTTGTTTTTTTTTCCTTTTGGGAAGTTTCTTTCCCTTTCACAATATCTAATGTACCTTTCAGATTTTATTTACTCTGTCAGATTCTTACAGTAGGTAGACAATGCGATGGAAAACATTAGATACTGACATGAATTTTCAGCAGTCTGATTTCAAGAAAATGTAGGAGCAAGGACTGATGATTCTTCCCAGAATGCAAGACTAATTGAAAAGAAATCTCAGAAGAGGACCAGATGATACTCCAAAAGCAGAATCTCAGCATGTAAAAGAAAACTGCTCTGAAATGGAAAAAAAAAAAAGGGGGGGAGAGATAAATGCAATAAACAAAATTTACACTAGATAAACTAGTATATTTGTGCGCATGCGTGTGTGCATGTTTGGTTGGGGGTTTTGTTGGTTGGTTTGTTTCATTTTTCTGAAGGACAGGGGTCAAACCCGGGGTCTCATGAATGCTAGGCCTGTGCTCTTCTCTTATGTTCACTCACACCAGGGTCCACAACATGCGTTCATGAAAAGAATGGTTGTTTGGGGAAGTACACAAAGGTCATAAATCGAGAAGAAGGACCTGGGAGACTAAACTCCAAAAGCACAGAGGTTACAGAAACGTAAAGGATATTAAAGAACTATCAAAGTTACATTTATTTTCAGTAAATATACCAAGGAAGTAATCAACTTAAAGTCAGTGGTGCAATGACAGATTTTTTTTTCCATCTTTTGTCAAGAGGGAATTTTCAGCTGGAGAGGGCAGGAAATTATAAGGCCAGAGTAATTGAAACTCAACTGCATGGAGAGATTGCAAGGGACATCTAAATGCTTCAAGGGCTGAGATGCTAAAAACTAAATCTTAAGACTGAGAGAATCTGTAAATGAAATTTCTAAACTACCGTTATCTGTCTAGGAAGTTAATGATGGACAGATGATTGGAGACAGAAAAATGAAGTCTCAACTTTCAAAAAGAAACAGAAATATATCCGAAACTACAAAAGACATATTACTATTGATGCCTAGTGTATATAAGTGATTCTTCACATGATTTTTGAGAGTCCTTATGGAAGACCATAATTATTAAGAATCAGTGCGAGTTTTCTGAGAACAATTGCACTCAACTAAGCTTATTTCTTCTTCCATTTTAAAAAATAGAATTGGGATTACTAAGCAGGTAATACTACGTAAATTGATGTCAGATATGTGGGTTTAAATAAGCCTCCCATAAAAAATTCTCCCATAGTGCCCTTGTTAGCAAAATTAAGAAATATTCTCAGTGTGAGTACTAAGTTGATTTCTATCTGTGTAAAAGACTCTTCAAAGGGAGCGAGCCCTCTAATGTGCTGCTACAGGCTCCATCTACAATTCTCTTCTACTTCACATTTCGTTAATGACCTGGATAATAACACCACAGAAGGCTTCTCATGTGCACATATGACGTGGAGCTTGGGTAGAAAACCAGCACCTGGAGAACACAATCAAGATCCAGAAGTTATAACTACATATTATCAATTAAGATAAAATAAGATAGAGAAGATGGCTCAGGGATTTTCCCTATTATCTATGAGCCCAGAATGCGACATGATTAATGATTGTCTAAAGTTATATGCAATCACGGATCAATTCATGAGAAATATAAAGTTTAAAATTTAAATAAAAGTGTGCTAGGCCTGCATACTGTACCTTTCCCTCTTTACAATATCAATGTCTCTACACAGTAGACTTTCAGTAGATGCCTTGATTTTTAAATAATGCCAGGTACAGTTTCTGATTTTTCTCCCTTATGTAACAAGGAGTTTTCTAAATGTTTAAGTCCATGATCACACAGAGTCCTCCTATCAACTTGACAAATTAGACATAATTATTATATCAGTTGACTAAAAAGAAAACCAAGGCACAGAGAGCTGAGAAAATGTGTACCAAGTAATGTGGTTGTAAGAATTGGGAGCAGAAATCAAAACTAGATAGCTGATTTCAGCAGACACCTTTTCAATCACCGCACTGCACTATTTACAGGGATGAAATGGAAAATTTCAGTTTAGTCTATTTGACAGTGTTCAGAACATACCTGAAATGTTATATATTATGCTTCATGTTTTATAAGAGACTTTTATAAATTTACTGGTAGCAGACAGAGACTGTGAGATAGAAAGGGAGTTCCAAGTCATATTATATGAGGGTAGCTAAAGAAACTAAAAACTAGAGAAGATTCCATAGAGGTTTTTTTTTTATATGTTTAAGTTGCTATAATGGAGGAAAGAAATTAGATTTGTGTCTTCTGACTTTCCAAGGCCAATTCAGGCTCAAAGGATTTTACTTGCATCTGTCAGAATCCATCATAGAATAAAGTACTTTCTAATAATATTGCCTCAAGACACAAAAAGTATCTACTTGGTTTATCCTCTACTAGGATTTTTAAAACAAGGCCTACAGAAAGAAATAAAACTTGTTGATACTTAGGAGAGGACTTTCCAATAGATGCAAAATAGATTTTTCTTAAGATGGCCACGTTTGAAGTTCCTTATAATCTCAAACTTCAATAATTCACCAGAAACAAATGTGCCATTTGACTGCAGGGCAGTAAAATGCAGTAGTATGGCAGGCAATCAGGTACCAAGTAAACAGGGTTCCAAAACAAGCTCCCACTCCCTAGAGAAACAGGATGTGGGGCTCTAATTCCCTATAGATCATTTACCACCTATGGGAAAGGAAACGAGGAGTTTAACATCTGAATACCTTTTAACCATCTGTATTATAATGAAAATTACAAAAAAAGAGAAAATTACAATACTTATTGGATTTTATGTGATGATTTTGAGTGTGACACTTTCATCTTTTAAGCATAGGAAGATCTTGGCAAAGCACCTGACACAGGTAAAATATGGGAGAACATTGCAAAATAGTTACTTTTTATTACATGTAATCTTGAGAGTTGCTAAAACTCTCTTGCTTATAAAATGGTAATAATAGTATTGCCTTACAGTGTTAAACAGTAACTCATTAAATTAAAGGCCTTACTGTACTGGATACACAGCAAGTGGTAAACAAATATTAGCTAAAACTATTATTACTATAAACATGAAATCTGAAATCCTTTGTGGCTCAATTTCATCCTCTGAAAAAGTAGCCCACCTCTAGCCCAGATATCCCCAATTCTAAACATACAATATTGAATGTTTTGTAGTGAAATGTTATCTATGCAAACCCAAAATATAGAAGGATATGTGTGTTGAGAAAGACACTGGGAGAGTGAACAAAAATAGTTTTGGAAAAGTAGGTCAAAAAATTTTAAAGTAGACAAGTATGAATTATTAAATTAGACAGTGAAATTACTCAGGAAGGTTAAATGTTGGAATGTAAATAAATCACTCAGTTTAAGTGGCTAACAGTCGAGATCTGCAGAGGAATTTTGGAGTGGTTTATGTACCAGTGTACCACATGTACAATTTGCCTTCACAAGTGTCAAATGAAAAGCATGGTAAAAAATGGATTTTACTCATAAGCAGACAAAAGGTCTGTAGAAATACAGATATCTATGTATCACTTTTCCACTTGTGGAACTTGGTGAATTAGCACACCCAACCAGATGTGGGGATATTAAAAATAAAAATTCACACTTTGCCAATTTGCTTGGCTATCTCTTTTCAGATATATAAATACTCTTATAAAGAAGAAATAATCAGTGAGCAGAATTCAGCTAGCTGTTTGAAAAAGAAACATTTGACAAACCCATTAAGAGAAAGAAAAAATAATATAGAGATAAAGAAAGAAAACAAAGTTCTAAACTATCCCAAAAGAAATATTTCATCAAGCAAAATAAAAAGAAAACAGTATAAACATAGGACGATTTCCTTTTCTTTAGTCAAATACAATGAAATATCAGTAATGCTATGGAAAAAGGTTTTTATCTCTCATAAATGATTTGTGCTCAGAAAAACATTGCTCCTAGTACCTCCATAGATGTAGATAACCAATAAACTGTTGTTGGCAGTAATATTGAAATTCAGACTTGTGGAAATGTTGTAAGGTAGCTATAGAAGAATGAAAAGGTCAGTAACTTCTCCTCCCATCAGCTATATATAACTCTGGGCAGATTGTCAAAAATAAGCATTCAACAGTCTGGAAATCAACCAGCAGCAAACAGCAAACTGAGTCAAATTTATTCATGGAAAGCTGGGAGAACAGTTGGTAAGAACAGTAAGAGTCTGCAGCACTCTTGCACCTGTATATAGTTATATCCTTCACTTGCCTATGGTAAAGAAAATTCCACTGCCACAGGAATTTTAAACAGGCAA